CCTTCCTTCCTTCCTTCCTTCCTTCCTTCCTTCCTTCCTTCCTTCCTTCCTTCCTTCCTTCCTTCCTCCCTTCCTTCCTTTCCTTCCTTCCTTCCTTTTCTTTCCTTCCTGTGAGATTTCTTAACAACCACAACTGGAAGTGTCAAGATTGTAGTCATTGAGTGAATCAATCATATGGTATCTCACTTATCTCGTTTTGGTCAACAACTGAGATTCTGGCCCCAATTGTGATTTAAGGACAGGACCACCTTATTGTTACCTAATAAAGCTTATTTCTCTTTCATGGAAGTTCCAGTTTTAAGAATGCTGTCTTTAAAAGAAAAAGTATAGTCCTAATTATATGTTTTTCTCTGTCCACACACTCCACTTTGTGAAGATACGTGTCATTTTGCTGTTTGGGGAGATGGTGCCTTCAGTCAGTATTGACTCCTGGAAACAGCCTGGGCTAGTCTCTGCAGTTTTCTCAAGCAAGATTTTTTTCCTGGGGGGGGAGGGAGGGAGGGAGATTTAATTGTAGATTTTTATTCTGGCAGGTAATGAAACGTGTAATGTTTAGTAGGCTTGTTAATGTATATATACTTTGTACATATATATATTAGCTCCACCACCTATGTCATGCAAGAACTTATTAGTACTGAACAATAAAATACCTGAAATTCATTTCCATTCAAATTTGGTAATATATGTTCCCACTACACGATCACTTTGAAGGATGAAAGAATGATCCAAAACCCAGATTCTGATTTCAGTTGAAGTTATGAAAAAATGTGAGATTTGAAAGATCAGTTATAAAAGAGGTAATTATAAAAACCTTCTGCACAGAAGAAATAGTCCATTCTAATATATTCATTGCAATGTATGCAAACTCAGTCCTGGGGTCAAAGGTTTAAATATTCCCTTCCTTTCTTTCTTTACTTCTTATCGTCAGTTATATGACATTATAAAACAATCCTGTTTTACTGCATGAATTCAACTGACTTAACACTTTTAGCTGTAACTAAGGAAGCTGTTCAGGTGAGTAGGCGGATCTGACACCTCTCATATCCACTTGTCAAGATGACAAGATGACACCCAAATTCTATTTTTCAACTGCTATAGGGGTGGTGGGGTGAATCCTTGTTATCTCATTTACTCTTCCTCCCAGTTCCTCAGTTGGTAATATCCCAGTGGAGAACTGTTGAAGGTCAAGCCTCATCTGAAGAACCAGAGATATCAGTGGATTAGCTAGCTATAATGAGGAGGGAAGGCAGTCTCACACGATCATAGGCAAGTGTGGTTAAACCGGATGTTGGGCCAGGGGGATAGTCCTTGACGTACAACCACAATTGAGGCCAAAATTTAGGTTATTTTAAGTGAGACAAGTATGGCCTTTCTTCCCACAGTTGTTAAGAGAATCACTGCAGTTATTAAGTTAGTAACATGGTTGTTAAGTGAATCTGGCTTCCCCATTGACTTTGCTTGTCAGGAGGTTGCAAAAGCTGATCACAATATCCTGGGACACTGCAACCATCATGAATATGAGTCAGTTGCCAAAGCATCCAAATTTTGACCATGGGGATACAGCACCAGTCATAAGTGTGAAAAACGGTCGTCACTCTTTTTAATTGCCGTTATAACTTTGAATGGTCACTAAACAAACTGTTGTAAGTTGAGGACTACCTATACTGCAGCTGAGTTACAAGAAACCTGCCTATATCTATTTTTCCTCATTTATCAAGTTACATTTGGAGGAATAGGCAAGGAAATCTTTCCAACCTTCCTCTTATTTCTTTTATGTCCCCCATCTCTACCATCTCATATTTACTCACAACAATCCTGTGAAGTAGGATTGTTAAGGCTGAAGAAGCAAAAGGACCTTTACTTAGGTCAACCAGGTGTGTTTTTACTTTTGTATTTATTGATGGGATTTATGAATTGCAAGTTCCATCTTACAGGCATCAAGTCAACATACAACACAGAACTTAGGCAGTTGAGTTTCGGGGTTCCCGTAGTTTCTCTTTCTTCCTCTACAGGAAAGTTTGGGGCAGAATATAGAATTATCAGGAATCCAGCAATTGCCCTAATTAAATTCTTTATTGGCCAGCTGTGATTGGATGCCCAAGGAATTTGTCTCTGGTGCATAAGCTCTCAGTATATACACACAAGCAAACAAAGTGATAAGTTGTAGTTTTCAAAATTTTACTTCTATAATTGGAATCTCCAACACTGTAGAAATAGAGATGGGGATAGTTTTGGAGTCAAATTTGGGTCGATCATTGGGGCCAGAGATTTACTTTTTCAAGCTTGGTTAGTTTCGACTAAGTAAACTTCGAACAAGCTGTTGTAACTTTAGATAGTCCAAACCAACCAAGCTCTGATGTAACCCTTTACCTTAACAATTCAAGCCATCAAGGGGACAGATAGGCTCAAGATCCAACACCACGCTTTCCACCCCTCCAGGGAAACTTGTAACTTCCCTAAGGCGCTTCTACCCACTTCCCCTTTACCCTGAGGCGCTTCTATCCACTTCCCCTTTACCAAGGGGAAAGCCTCGACCTTCAAGCTTTTGGGGAGGGGGGTCGTCCCAAGCGCCCTGCAACCAATCAGCTGCTTGCCACTTGGACTCCCATCGACCTCTACTGACAGGGCCTTTGATGCCTAGCTCCAAGGTGAACAAAAAAGGAGGAAAGCAGGCAGGCTCCAAGTGCAGGCAGAAAAAAGCGCGTGGTTTTTTGTTTTTTGTTGCCTTTGGAAAGGGGAGCGAAAACTCGCCCGGCCCGAGCGCGCGCGTTATGTGAGAAAGAAAGAAATGTAATATTCGACACGGGCGGGGTCTCCTCCTGATGTAACAGGAAGCGGGGATGTTTCCCCTTTGGCTGCCGATAAGTTACAACCTCACAAGGCTTCTGAGCGCTCCTGGCGGCAGTGCCGGCCGTCGTTCGCTTCGGATTCCCTCGAAGCCCTCCGCTGATTGGATTGTAACCTAGACCTGTAGCAGCAACTAGCCGAACCGCGGCTGTTCTTTTTTAACCGTTTCAACTCCTCTCTCGGTTTTTTTTTAAATCCCCCTTTTTTAAACATCTCTTTTATTTTAAAAAAAAATCCTCATTTTTGAGGGGAGGGTTGGTTGTGGTGGGAACTTTTCCTTCCCAAACCGGGAAAAAGCCAAACTCATTTGATTCCTGATATTAAGCCCGGGAAGGAAAGCACAGCTTTCGGTGAGTAAAATAAAAGAGGGACTGGGGGAGAGAGATGGTGTGAAACATTATAAGGGAGGCGGAAAGAGAGAAATGCAACCCTTCTCCGGTTGCTTGCGGGGGAATAAGATTCATAAAAGGCGGGGGAGGAAATTTCTCGGACCATCCAATTCATTGGCTTCGGAAAAAAAGAGGTGGAAGGGGCGGGGGGGGGAGGGAGGCGGGGGAGCGCCCCTTTTCCCAGCGCTGCTCAATAAATGAATTGCCCTGCCAAATGCAAACGGGCGCTCTCCGGTGCGGGTTAGAAACCCGAGTCAAAACTAAACTAAGCCGTGGGTTGCGTTTCTTTGACCCGCGCGTGCCTGTGCTTCTTCGGCTGCTGGAGAAATCGTGAGAAAGGAGCGAATCGAGTTTTACTCCGGGCATCTGGAAACCTAGCGAATTTGGAAGCGTGTGTGTGTGAGAGAGAAACGGTCTTCTGCATCGAATCTTGGACCAAGTTCTGTAAGCATCTCTTTCTAAAAAAAAAAAAATCAAGACCACAAAACAACAACAAAAATAATAATCCCGAGATAAGCGGACGGGAGAAGGGAGCGAGAACCAGCAAGCTGTGCGGTCTCTTTGTAGCGACTTCCTCCCCCTCCGGCCTTTCAGTGGGTTCATTTCGGCGTGAGAGTTTCAGCAGCGCGGCTGGTCTCTTCGTCCCTCCGGTCCCAAAGGGAGAGGGGAAGTTTTGGTTTGTGTGGTTGAGTGTGTGGTGTGTGTGTGAGTCACAGAGAGAACCAAATGTAAAACTAACGCTAACAGCTTCATCTGAAGTCGGACAATCAGAAGTCAATGCCTTGGTGTTTGGGGGTCGCTCCTTCCTCAAAACGGCGTGATTGTATACTCGTGTGAGCAACACCTCTTTAACTATAGTTGTTGCAGGGAGGTTTATTTCTGGGAGTTAACCAGCATAGGATGTATAGTGAGAGTCAATTAGGAGCTCATGATGAACCACAAAAATCTAACATTGGGTATAGTCAGTGGCTTTATTTGGTCCACTCAGAATGACACAAAAATTGTTCCCATTTTTTAAAGCTATTCCTCAAAAAGCAGGACTTAATTAATTCTCTGGCTTCTCAATTAACAAATTAAAGTATCAGACCTAAGTTTTAGCCTTGAGGCATGTTGCTTATCCCTGACTGTTCTTAATACCTTCCCCGAGGATGAGCTGTGGGAAATGTAAAAGCTTGCAAACTTTTGGGTAGTCTCAGTGAAGATAATACCATCCTATGGCTGTTGTATCTTATTCTTGCACAGAATGAGGCAATACTGGATGTTTTAAACAAGAACCTGTGGATTGGTTTGGTTTTGCCAGATAATGCATTCGTAATGCTTTGAAGTAAAACTGTCCATTGATTTCAGAGAAATATGGTGAAGACAGCAATTCTAGATGTATATCTATGGTGATTTTCAATCATCCAGGTCATGGTCATCCCAAAGATGCTTTTCAAAAGGCAATTGGACTTCTGGTTTTCTTTTCTTCTTGAAAACTTTTTTGTTTCTCATTCAAGAAACTTCTTCACTTCTGGTTGAATGGTGTGGAATGGAACGATTTATATTCCTTAGTGGTCATCTGGTCATTGGTTCTCTGATGGTTGAGGCCACTTGGTGGTTTAGATGTGTATAAACCATTAAGTTTTTAAGTTATGTAGTTTAATCCTAAATTCTTTAAATCTGCTGCAAATTTCACACTGAATCTGCTTTTTATTAAGTATGCTTAATATGATGAAGGTGGTGGAAGGTGATGATATTTCTTCTTCTCTGACCTGGAGGTTGATAAATGGTGTTGCTTTTTTTCTTGTATTTTTTGTTTTAAAACTTGGCAGTTATGAAAATATGAATGGATATGACATAATAGATTGACCCAGAACCTTTTCTTATCTATCTATCTATCTATCTATCTATCTATCTATCTATCTATCTAT